TCGGGGTGATGGTGGCCAAAAGATAGCAGCATCACGGTTAGCAGCAGTGGAGAGCAGTAACGATGGACGGATGCGCCCAGGCCGTGAAACAAAATACACAGTGTAAGGGACAGGTTGGATACACGTTAGCATTGAGTATGTAGAGATGACGGGATACCGATTAGGGTTTCTGTTTTGTTTCACTGGTCTGTGTGTTTGTGCACCAGTATTGTCATAATACTATTAAAAATTTTCTAAAACCTGATTTTTAGAAAATTTCTCACTCATATAACATTCCATACATATTAATGGATGGAAACAGTATAGAAAAGATAGAATTCTCCCCAGATTAGATTATCCATTGTTAATAAAAACCCACCGAAATTTTAGTGGTTGATAATTACTACGCTTTAATTCACTCGTGAAACTGATCATGTTCTTGGTGTTTCGGGGTAAATCAGGTGAACACTGGAGGGGGAGAAAGCTGGATGCAGGCGTGCATGTGTCGGCATTCTGTGCTAACAAAAAAGTAACATAATAAGAACGTACAGATATATATACAAATATAAAAATATTTTGCTTTTTTTTACTCTATAAACCCACTTCAAATATTGTGGAAATATTAAAAGATGTAATTCTCCCATTCTGTTCTCGTGCCTCGAATCCCTTTAGTTTGTGTTTTTGAGAACGCTGTGCACTGGAAGTGACCTAAGTGTGCTGGGTGTCCTGATACAAGGGTGGTGTTTTCCATTCGATGCTGTTTCTCGAAGATTCACTTCAGCACAGAGGAGGCGCTGACATCTGCAGCTGCTCCTGTGTGGGTTCTGCCATCCCGTCACTGGGCTTACCTGCCCTGCTCTGTGCCGCCTACAGTTTACGGGACCGCTGCAGGTCTGTGTTCTGGGATCCCGGCTTCTCAGCTGGACCCACTGGCAGAGCCCTGGAGACCACATGATCTGCCCACAGAGTGCTACCACGGCCCAGGGTAGTAACAGGGAAGATCAAGGGCAGGGAGAACGCTTAGCGCTGCTTCCTCTGGGCTCCCTGCGCCCCTCGCCAGGCAGCACCCCACCTCAGCTCCTGGCCACCCACTCCCAGGACGCAGTGGTGGCTGCCGCAAACGAGGGTTATAAGAGTCTTCTGCCCACATGTGACATACATGTAATCTTAGTGAGGCAGTGATGGACCCGGGAAGAAAACAGTATCTGCTGAGAAGCTCTAACACAGAGTTCCCGCCTGTCCTGCAGCGTCCGTGCATGAATCTGTGACTGTTCGTGGACTTCCACTCTTTCCATGCAAAGTCAAGGAGACAGTGACTCCCTGGCTAGCCCCCAACCATGGAGGAGGGAAGGGGTGCTTGTGACTTACAGACTGAGAGGAAGCTCACGAATCCCATGGCTGATGATTTGTGGAATGACGCCAGGTAGGAAGAAAGAAGTAAAAGAAGGAACAAAAACGGAAAGGCTCAGTGTCCTTTTCTTTCAGACAGTAACAGATGGACCAAGGAGTCTGAAAGGTGGCCAGGAGCTGGCGTCCAGGGCCCGGTGGACACCACAGATCTCTGAGCCTCAGCAGAAGCACAAATCTCAGTTCCGCGTCTGTAATAGACACCTGCTCTGGATATGTAGTTTCCTTCCCTGCAAACAGTGCCTCTGCTAAATCTACTATCCTCGGACTTATGGAACGCTTTACCCTTTGGCATGGTGTCCCACCCAGTTTGCCCCTGGTCAAGGAATGTGTTTCATAGCAGATGAAGGGCAGCAGTGAGACCAGGATGATAGAATTCATGGTCGTACCATGTTTCCCACCATCCAAAGCAACTGGCTTGTGAGAACAAGAAAACGGCCTTTTGACGACTCCATTACAGAGCTGGCTGGGTGGCAGTCACTTGCAGGCAAAATGTGTCCTGGGACAACGTTCTTCAGGAGACTGGGTATGCTCTGAATCAGTGTGCCCGTATGTGATGCTCTTTCTCCCACAGTCAGGATTCACGGGTCCAGGCAGCTAGCGCTAGACGTGGAGGGACACCCGTGTCACCCTAGTGATGTCACTAGGAAAACTTTGCTCCTTGTTTCTGTGACCTCACGCCCCGCAGATCTAGAGATCCTCGTTCAAAGGGAAGAATGCTACCACCAGGAGACATACTGTGATTCCATTAAAGTGGAACTGAAGACGGCTGCTCGGCCGCCTTGGGCTCCTCATGCCTTTGAGTAAACACACAAAATGAGAGGTAAGGTGTTTAACGATCCTGACTACACGGAAAGATGAGGCAGTTGATCCGCCATGGCGGAAATGGCGGGCACGTCCGCAGTACGAGAGATTCCTTAGAACCACCCGGCCCTGGGATGAAAGTCCGTGAAAAACGACAACCGCCCAATCCTACACTAGAACTAGACTAGAACTGAGAAATATACCTGGGAGGTTTAACTATTTCACTTTGTTTTGTACTTACTTAGCTTTGTAAGTTTGGAATAATCATTAAATTTCTAAGTCCCTCTAGCTGAAGTTAGTGAAGATTAATTGAAATGAAGCATCTTAAGATGTTTTCAAAGTGCATATGACTCAAGAAGCACAAAGAAATTTGAGTTTCATTTGTACTAGGGTGATGCAAGGCAACAACATATTATGTGGGGAGATTGGAGCTGCAGACAGAGGACAAAATTCCTGGGAATTAACCAAAATTCCAAGGACACGTACAGATTTTTAAAAGCTATGAAACTGATGGAGCCCAACTGGAGATCCCAAGGGGAACAGGTATTCTCTGAGCTCCACGCAGGATGAAAGGCAAATTGACAAAGATCTGTCTCTAGCAGGGTGAGCAGGTAGGAGTGTCAGGCCTGGGAGGGTGGAGGGATGATGGAGCTACGGGCTGGCGGTGGAGAGGGGATGTGGTCCAGCTACCTGTGTCCCTTACCTGCCCTCAAGGGCCCTTTGTGACCAGACCACAGCTCTGTGATGTGGGCGTGAGGCTTGTGTCTGCACATACACACCCAGGGCTCAGTTTCCTGAGGGCAGCAGTGCGATCAGACACTAACTCTGGGCTCAGTTGCCTGAGGGCAGCAGTGCAATGGGACTAATGCTCTTCAGAGGAAAGAGATGGAGCATTACCTCTTCCCTCAGGAATTCCTTACTGATGGTTGGCTGAGCTCCAGTCCCACTATCTGGGCAGTTAATGCCACCCTTGCCTTCGTATGGGGACTGGGGCTCCTCTTCCTCTTACTTTCCTATTTCCAGCCTGATCCATCCTCACCACCAGGCAAGAAACACAGGAAGAGCAGGAAGGTAAGGAACCCTCGGCCCAGACCCAGCAGAGTGTGATTCTATCTTCTTTTCTATTCTTTCCACTTTTCCGAGTAACTGGAGACTCCTGAGATGGGAACAAATAGAATTGTCAGGAGAGAGTAGACCACCGTCCATCGAGGACAAGCCAGACCAGGCAGGGGTTAGAGGGACACAAGGATTTCTCCCCGAAGATCTCAGGCCGGAGTCCAGGTGTGGTGGAGGTGTGCAGGACAGCGTCCCAAACACAGTGACCGGTGGCCGAGGACCAGAGGTTAAGAACTGCCTCTCTAGCAGAGGTCAGGGCCCTGAGCACCCGGTCACCTGCTGCTGGGGCGGGGGTCCCAGCCTCCCTCTGTTTTCTTATCTCAGTACCAAGCGGAGCCACAGAGAAGGAGCAAGAGGGGAAGGAGCAAGAAAAACCAGACTCTGAAAGGTGAGCGTCTGCCACTCACCCCTGCGTGCCCCAGATACACCGTCCCCCCCGCTCTGAGGGCCCAGCCCCACTACTGTCTCCAGGATACCAGGGCCTGAGCCCATCCCTCCTGAAACAGAGCCCTGGGTGGGGGGGTGGGGGATCCAAGGAGGGAGAGCGGAACCCAGAGCCTTCCGAGATTCTGTGCCAGAACAAAGCCCTGAGGGGCTGGAAACCAGTATTGCTCAGCAGGGGCCCCAGGGCCTGGACTGGGGGCGGGACCTCCCGCTCCGGCTGTGGACAAGCTGTTCAACTCTGCTCAGATTCCTCTGTGAGGCCACGCGGTCCTTCCTCCCCCAGCAAGGTGATGAACGAGGAAACACTTTGGAAAAGACAAAGCGATCCCCATCATGAACCCTGTAATCACCGTGCGGGCACGTGGCCTTGGACAGTGCTGTTTGGGGCTCCCGAATTCAATCCCCCAAAGGTCTCCTCCCCTAAAGGGACATTCTACCCAGCCTCCCATAAGATCCCTGGGCGCCGCCTTCCTCTGTGACCCGGTCTCCTCTTTCCAGTTTTCAGAGATTGCCTACAGGATCTGGAAGAGGTTCAGGACCTGTTCTCCCTTCTGCAAAGGTAAAGAATCTGCCCCCTTCTCCCCTGGGTGGGCCTCCCCGAGTCTATGGTGTGACCCCTGGACTGCGGGGAACCGCCTCTGGGGCTGTTTGGGGGGGCTGGGAGGAGCCGTGGGGACAGACTGACCAAAGCCCCGGGCTGAGGGATAGCAGGAGCATAGTGACATGGGTGTGGGGCGTGGAGGGCCGTGGGGACCGCTCCCGGCCCCGGCTGCTGCAGCGGCAGCTCACGCCTCCTGTCTCCCGCAGCCACCTGGCGAGGCTCTCTGACCAGGGCGGCTTTCACCAGTTCTTACGTCAAGCAGCCCCTGGGCGGGTGCACCGAGGGGCGCCAGCTGGAGCCGGTCAGCCATGCAGGGAGCCTGTGGAAGACGCTGCTCCCGCCGTGGCCCCATCACCTGTCCACGCTCCGCTGACGGGCCCCCCTCGGCCTCTGGCCTCCACCCTGCCATCAGGACCAATGACCTCCTCAATTTCTGTCGGTTCACACTCCTCCCTGAGTACTTCCTGGCCAGCAGAGCCTTTCCTCCCCCCGGATGGCTTTTCACACCAGCCCCTT